AGTTTGAATACCTTGCTCAGGGTCACATGTCTAATCTCCTCCACATCCAGAGCTCTTTCCACCATATGGTCAATTTAACATTTATTTGGCACCTACTGCAAGCAATGATATGTATTAGGTACTGGGACCCTACAAAGATTAACAGCACACTGAGTCTTTCTGCAAGGAGCCTGCAGTCTGGAAGTTATGATACTGAGTATTACTTTGTTTATTTATTTTTTTGTGAGAAGGGGGTAGTGTAGTCAAAAATATAAGTGAGAAAGATGACCTTGGGCATGGAGGTGGTTAGTGTTTTTGAATCAGGGATTTTTGCAATGAATGTGGGAAGTAAGGAAAGAGATTGAGATTTAAGATGAAACAACAGTCTTGGAACTGAAAGAGATGGATTTTCCTTTCCTTTCCTAGTGACCTTAAACATAGAATTTGAAGTTAAAAGATCATTTCAGCAGTCTAAATGAAGTTTTGGTTCTGATATATTTTAATTTTAAATGGAAGTGAAGAGGGAAATCAAGGAATAGATAGAATTTCTGCTTGGGATTCCAGGTGACATAGTGGATACAGTGTCAGACTTGAAGTCAAGAAGACCTGCATTGAAACCCTTCCTCAGATGCTTACTAGCTATGTGATCCAGAAGAAGTCATTTAGCTCCTCTCAACTTAAGTTTCTTCATCTGTAAAATGGGTATAATTATAGCACCTACATCAGAGGGTTGTTGGGAGAAACAAATCAATGAGATTATATCTATCTGCCTGTCTACATACATATACGTGTATATATATATATATATATATGTCTTTCAGTCTAATGTGCTAAATAAACCTTAGCTATTATTATTACAGGATAGATAGTAATGGATCTTCCCCTCCTCTTCTCCCCCAAGGCAGAAAGAATGCAGATCTACTCAGTTCCAAGGAGCAGGATGTTTGCATTGGTACAGATAGAACAAAAATGTTGGAAAACATTCTGGAGTGCAATAATAACAGTATTACTCATAAGCAAGTAGAAAGGGAGGCAATAATCACTAACCAACATTATGGGCCCATTAAAAACAAGTCATGTCCAAGTTGTCCCAGTGAGGCTGTCTCCCAGCCTCCTGTGTCTTTGACTGTAGCCAGCTGTCATCATACTGTGTTTGTCATTGAATGAAACTACTAAATCTTTTTCAGACTAATTTCTGCCTAGACATGCCTCTCCCATCTTGACTTGATGAGTTGATTTTTTTTCATTCATCCTTAAGATTTTGAATTTATCTTCTTGAAATATGATTGTAGTAGATTTGGACAAATATTCTAGACTATAAATCTCTTTCTCTTTTTCTCATGCTGGCATCCAACAGGTCAGTTGCTCTTCTATTTTTGTGTCATCTTCAAATTTGATCAGCATGCCAGCAATGTTTTATCCAACTGAATGATAAAAATATTATATATTACAGGGTCAAACATAGATCTGTGGGCACTCCACTAGGGACCTCTGTAATGTCACATAGAACCAGTTATGAGTTCTCTGGGTTTGGTCATTTACCCAGTTGCCTACTGACTAGCTTACATCTTTACCACCTCGTTGTCAGGCATATCATGAGACATTCTATCAAATGATTCACTCAACTAACTTTGTTTCCATTTTCCTTGATTTATTCATCTCATGACTGTTGAGAAAAAAAAGAAAATTAGAAATACATGTCTGGAACTTTTTGTTTGTAAATGTTCACTGACCAACTCTTTATTGATAGGTTGATAAGAATAAAATCAAGATAATTGGCCTATAATTCACAGACTCCCCCCCTCCTTTTAAAAAAATTTAGATTTTTCTCTTCTGTAGTATGAGTATCTAGGCCAGCTAGTGGCACAATGGATAAAACAAGAGTTCAAATACGAACTCAGACACTCGTTAGCTGGGTGGCCCTGAGCAAGTCACTTAACTCCTGTCTGCATAAAACTGGAGAAGGAAGTGGCAAAACACCCCAGTATCTTTGCCAAGGAAACCCCATGGGCAATTGGTCCATGGAATCACAAAGAGTTGGACATGACTGAACAACTGAACAAGTGTGTATCTCCACAATTTTTCAAAAGGACTGATAGTAGCTCAATGGTCATATCTACCTCTTCTTCCTGTGACCTTGGGATGTGGTTCATTTAGACCTACTTCAAATCCCAACTGAAAGTCAAGAGTAAATTTATCATCACTTTGTTTTTCTTGGATTTCAACTTTCTTTCAGCCATTTTTATTCTTCTATTGGCAGCACACCAATAATTTTTTGGGGGATGAAAATGGAAACTAAGTTAGTTGAAAGCTTCTGACATCTGTCATGCTTTATCCTTGTTTTTTCCATCCTGAGCAGCAGTTCTATTCCTTCTATGATTTTACTCTTTTCCATAAATCTGTTATTTGAGCCTATATCCTTATTGTCTATTGCTCTGGAGCCATAATTCTGTGCCCCAAGGATAGTCACATCAACTTCATCATCAATCCCTAGTAGGTTTATTTCATCTGGACTCATAGAACCTCATGCAGAGGTGAAGGTAAAAATTGAGAACGTGTACTATAATGCTGTCCTAAATAGTTGATCATGTTACCATCATTCTCCTATCTTTAATGATGGGTATCTAGGTAAAATGCCTGTAAAGCCTATGACAGGGCTTGGACTTGTTGGTTTGTGTGATACAGACCATCCCTGCCTGGAACACATGCTCTTTAGACTGCCATATGTACTGTTTATGTGCATTGTTTTATTTTAACGTTAGAGAAGGTTAGCTACCTGGAAGACCAGGAAAACCACTGTTACTGTTTTAAAGAACTGATTCTTGGGTTTATACTTTATATTTTCATGTTTTGGACTTGTCCCAGCTTACCTTTGCAAGGGACTATAAAGAATTTCAATCCAATGGAGAAATGTAACCTAAGGCCCCAAACCCAATGGAATGGGACTCTTCACTAATGGAGATCAATGTTCCTTGCCTGCTTGAGAAATGGGGCAGAGGTGGATAGAGTATGAGAGAGCTTCAGTTTCATCAGTCTTTTTTTTTTGAGTTTGTCTTCAATTCACTGGAGGCTGTCTGGGTATTTTTGACTTTTAGCTTCGAAAGAGAAGACAGACAATGCCAACCCCACTTCGGGTTGCTGAAGGAGAAGACTCTAGGGAGAAGCCGACATGAGGGGAGTTGGCAGTCTCCATTGTGTCCCCTACTTGCTGCATCGCAGACTTGGAGGAACTTCCCCTTGGCTGAGATCTGGGACTCATTCTTGGTTGAGCTGAATTACCTTGCTCCCAATGGGAGAGCATCTTTAATAATTATTATGGTATATAGTGTCTTACATGTTCGGTTATTTATACCCTTTCAGGCATATTTTCTCTGATTTTTGTTTGGCTATCACATTGGCTCACAACCTAGCAGTCACCCTCGACTCCTCATGATCTCTCACACTCCATATCCAAGCAGTTATGAAGGCCTGTTGATTTAAACTTTGCAACATCTCTTGAATAAGCCCCTTCCTCTCCTCTGACACTGCCACCACCTGATGCAGGTCCTCATCACCTCACACCTAGATTATTGCGAAAGCTGCTGGGAGGGTGGTGGTGGTCTTCTTGCCTCAAATCTCTCCCCACTCCGATCTATCCTCCATTCAACCACTGAAGTGATCTTCCTAAAGTGCAGACCCAATCATGTCAAACTCCTTCCCCAATACCCCATTACAATAAACTCCAAAGGCTCCCTATTTTGTCCAAGAGCAAACATAAAATATTATATTTGGCATTCAAAGCCCTTCATAACCCGGCCCCTCCTACCTTTCCAGTCTTCTTACACCTTATGCCCCACCACATATTCTTCAGTCCAGTAACACTGGTCTCATGGCTGTTTCCTCCATCTCTTGGCTCTGGGCATTTTCTCTGGCTGTCCCTCCTTCAATCTGATTACAGACCTTCCTGACTTCCTTTCAATCCCAACTAAAATATCACCTTTTACAGAAACCTTTCCCTAATGCCTCTTAGTTGCAGTGCATTCTCTCTGTTAATCATTTCCTATTTATCATATATATGTATGTATGTATGTATGTATGTATATAGTCAGTTGGCCCATACTTGTTTGCATGGTATCTCCCTCATTAGATTGTGACCTACTTGAGGGCAGGGACTGTCTTTTGCCTTTTTTAGTATCCCCAATGCTTAGCTCAGTGCATGGTACATAGTAGGTGCTTAATAAATGTTTATTAAATTGAATTGAATTGTATAAATGGGTTTCCTTACTAATTGCTATGTGTATTCATTTTGGAAGTGGTATTTGGTGAGAAAGGGGTTAAGCCTTGGATATAATGCTGGGCATACAGCCTCTCTCCATAATGAACAGTGATCAGGAGTTAGCTTGAATATGAAAACCATATACCCTAGACTAACAACTTTTAAGGGAACAAAAAGATATAAATCTAGCCCTGTACCACAGCTCTCTGAGGAGACTGAAGTGGACAAGCTTCTGCTCCCCTACTCCAACCTCTTGCTTCTCTTAAAGTCTCCCTTAGAGAAAGATGGGGGAGAAGAGGCTAGAAATGTCTATTCTGTTTCACTTCAAGTCACACAACTTCAAGCCTCATCTGAGGGGACAGCCTTTGCCACATTTCCAAGCAGGACAACTTTGAAGTATTGTCTTTGCTTCCAATTCCGCTAAAACCTCTGAACAAAGATAGTGACAAGGGAAAAATCTGACAAAACATATGATGTAAAATATTCAAGAGGTAAAAATAATCCCAAAATATAACTTTTAAAATTCCTAGGAATGATGGAAAATTGCTACAGAATCAAATAAATTAGAAAAGAAATGTAAATTTAAAAAGATATTCAATTGGGAGAAACCAGAGGAGGGACAAAATTTTCTAAAATAAAATTATTCCATAAAACAATCTAGGTGATGTAAAAACAAAAGAAAACAATAAAATTTATTTTAAAAATAGAAGGGAAGAAAAGATGGGTAAGAAATTAAAAAGGGAAGGTTCAGGGTACACTACTGTACCTCCAATTCATGTATATCTTTGATTGAAGAACTGGGTTCAACATGGTTTAGGGCATCATCAGGACTTGAACCAGGGATTTTGGTGGACATATTTTCTTCTTCTTCCCCCTTCTTTGAAGAGAGACATAGAGAAAAAATATTATAAATATCGAGCACAATAAATATTACCACCAATTACCAATACAACTGAAACAGAATGGAAGCAACAAGGACAATGTCCTAGGGTTTGGTAAAGTACTTTCCCCAGAAGAGATTGGTCCACTAGAGACCAAGAAAGATCTCAACTGAATTTTCTTGGAGTTTATTAGGTTACTTCCCATGCTTAGCCTTATCCGAGCTTACATATAGAGGCTGTAGGTCATATGCAGAGGAAAAACTGATGTACAAAAAATAAAAAAATAAGAGATAGGATAAGATAGAAACCATTGGTATTAGTGACTTTGTCCATGAACCTGAAATCAATGTGATGTGGCATCTACACTCATTTTTGCCTTTTCATTTGATTCAAAAAAAGAATGGTAGAAACAGAAAACAAGAATGTGGAGGTGGAAGAGCAAATATCAAAACAAAATTGAAAGACAAAACAGATTGATAAATTTTTTAAAAATTAATTTAATTTTGTTCTGAATTTAAAAAACAAAAAAGAGAACATTTCCACATATACAGTAGCACAGAAGAGAGCAGTATATAAAAACACTAATCTTCACTTCATTCCATTTGCTTTTTAAAAAAGTGTGTAATAATTTTTACTTGCTATTTTCAAAACTGTCTTGCTTGCCTGTTCATCCCTGTGGACTTCTTTCACTCTCTTCTGTGCATTTAAAATATGATTTAATCATCTTTTTTGGGAGCATTACTATTCCTAATATCTCCTTCTACCGTATTGCCCCACCAAATGAAAAGCCCCACCAGAGAAAGGAGAGAAAAAACCCTTTGTAACAAATAAGTAGAATCAAGCAAAATGATTCCAGACAGTGGCCATGCCCTTAAAATGTATATCTCTTCCTCCACCTTGAGTCCATCACCTCTCTAAAAGAGTAGGTAGCATGCTGCATCGCAGGTCATCAGGAAACATACTTGGTCATTGAGTCTTCAAGATTTTGTTTTTCCTTTAGAGTTGTCCTTCTTGCTTCTGCTTACTACTCTGTCAGTTCATACTACCAGTACTTTCTAAAATAATATCTTTTAACATTTCATAATGGTGTAATAATATTCCTTTATATTCATATACCAAAATCTGTTCTGCCATTTCCCTATATTCTCCTCTTCTGTAAAAGGTCTTTTGTGACTTTTATTTGAAATACTTTACCCCATTCTACTTCTCTCTTCCCCCTTCTCCCAGTGACTCCTTCTTTTTCACCCTTAATTTAATGTTTTTGGATATCGTGCTATCATAGTAAACTCAACTTGTGCCCACTGTCTATGTACACTCCTTCTAACTGCCTTATTAGTGATAAAGTTTTTAAGAGTTTCAAGTATTATCTTCCCATGTAGAAATATAAACAGTTTAATCTTATCAAATTTCTTATGTTTTCTCTTTCCTGTTTACCTTTTTATACTTTTCTTGAGTCTTGTATTTGAAAAATCTAATTTTCGCTTCAGCTCTGGCCTTTTTGTCAGGAATGTTTGAAAGTCTTATATTTCATTAAATATCCATTTTTCTGCCTGAAGCATTACACTTATTTTTGCTGGGTAGGTGATTCTTGGTTGTAACCCGAGCTCCTCTGCATTCCAGAATATCATATTCTAAGCCCTCTGATCCTTCAATGTAGAAGCTGCTAAATCCTGTGTAGTCCTAACTGTGGCTCAATGATACTTGAATTATTTCTTCCTGGCTGCTTGCAGTATTTTCTGCTTGACCAGGGAACTCTGGAATTTTGGCCATAAATATTCTTGAGAGTTTTCATTTGGGGATTTCTTTCAGGAGGTAATTGGTGGACTCTTTAAATTTCTGCTTTATTTTCTGGTTCTGGGATATCAGGGCAGTCTTCCTTGATAATTTATTGGAAAATGATGTCTAGGCTCTTTCTTTGATCATGTCTTTCAAGTAGGCCAAAATTTCTTTTTAAAATTTTTATTTATTTTCTTTTGAATTTATGGAATAAAACAAGCTTTTCCATAATGTAGTATAATAAAAAGATGATTGCACATGAAACCATAAATTTATTATATACAATTTGCTTTTCCTTTTAATTATATAATAAAGTTATCACATAAATTAATTTTTCCCTTTTCCCCCTGCCCCCACCCTACCCTACAGATGGCAACCATTAGACACAAATATGTGTATGTATGTTTAATAATTCTATATATACTTCTATTTATCAGTTCTTTCTTTGGATGTGGATAGCATCTTCTATCATATGTCCTTTGTAGTTAATTTGGGTATTTATAATAGTCAAAATAACTTATTCACTCAAAGTTGTTCTTAAAACAATATTGCTATTACTGTATACAACATTCTCTTGGTTCTGCTCATTTCACTATTCATTATTCCATGTTAATCTCTCCATGTTTTTGTAAGATCATTGAGCTCATTATTTCTTATACCACAGTAGTATCCCATCACAATCATATTCCACAACTTGTTCAGCCACGTCCCAGTTGCTGGGCATCCCTGCATGTCCAATTCTTTGCCACCACAAAGAGAGCTGCTATAAATATTTTAGAATGTATAGATTATTTTCCTTTTTGCCTGATCATCTTAGGAAACAGATCTAGTAGTGGTATTGCTGGGTCAAAGATTATAGGGAGTTTAATAATCCTTTGAGTGTAATTCCAGATTGCTCTCCAAATTGGTTAGATCACTTCACAATTCTTAAATTATCTTTCCTTGATCTATTTTCCATGTCAATTATTTTTCCAATGAGATAGTTCACATTTTCTTCTATGTTTTTCATTCTTTTGATTTTGTTTTATTGTTTCTTGATGTCTCATGGAGTCATTAGCTTTCATTTGGTAAATTCTAATTTTTAAGGAATGATTTTCTTCAGTGAGTTTTTGTACCTCCTTTTCCATTTGGTCAATTCTATTTTTAAAGGAGTTGTTTTCTTCAGTGAATTTTTGCACATCTTTTCCTATTTTTATGGTTGTGTTATTGAGAGGTTGACTCTCTTTTATGACTTTCTTGCATCACTATAATTTCTTTTTCCATTTTTTTCTACCTCTCTTATTTGATTTTTTGAAATTCTTTTGGAGCTCTTCCAGGAATGCTTTTTTCTTGTGTTTTTTTTTGGGAGGGGCTAGGCAATGGGGTTAAGTGACTTGCCCAGGGTCACACAGCTACTAAGTGTTATGTGTCTGAGGCTGTATTTGAACTCAGGTCCTCCTGAATCCAAGGCTGGTGCTCTATCCACTGCATCACCTAGCTGCCCCCCAGGAGTGCTTTTTTTAACCTTCAACCAATTCACATTTTTCTTTGAGGCCTCACATGTAGGCAAGTCTGCTTCTTGAGTTCATGTTTTGAACTTTCCTGTCACCATAGTAATTTTCTATGGTCAGGCTTGACCTATAGTTGGCTGCTTACTTGCCCAGATGCTGTATGGGCCTGACAGTGCTCCCCTTTTACCCATGTGAGACAGGCATTTCTTGCTGACCATCTGAGTTGCCTTGGGTAAGAAAATTATCTTACCCATCCTTTTGTTGGTTCTTCCCCTCCAGAATTCATTTTAAGAATTATTTTATAGTTGTTTGGAGGCAAATTTGGGAGAGTTCAGGCTAGCTCCTTCCTTAATTCCTCATCTTGGCTCCATCCCCTAGATTTGATGCCAATGAACATGAGCACTCAAAGAGCTTGAAATGTAAGATGAGGTAAAAAGATGTGGCAATGCTTTTGAGGCTTGGAGTGAAGGAGAAGAATTTTTCTTTCCTTGCCTAGTGAATATAGAATCTGAAATTGGGAGATAATTTCAGATTCTAAATGAAGTTTTGGCTCTGACACATTTAAATTTTAGTGGAGATAAAGAGGGAGATCAAGGAATAAGTAGAATTGCTGTTTGGGATTGGAGGTGGTATATTGTATACACTTTCAGACTTGAAGTCAGGAAGGACCTGAATTGAAGGACCTACCTCAGACTCTTACTTTATCTGCATCCTGAGGAAAGTCACTTAACTTCTCTCAGCTTAAGTCTCTACATATATCAAATGGGAATTATAATAGTACCTATATCACATGGTTTGGGGAGGAATAAATCAAATGAAACAATATATGCAAAGTACTTTAAACCTTCAAGTGCTACATAAATGTTAGGTATTAATTTTATTTCTATTGTTCTGGGTTGGATGGTAATGAATGACTCTTCTGTCCCCTAAAACATGAGATCTATTCAGTTCCTAGGAGAATGATGTTTGAATTGGTATGAATAGAACAAAAATGTCTTAGGACTGAAAGCCAAGATACATGAGGAAATGGTCTGAGTGACCTCAGCTGCCTTCAATATGTTCAAGTCACCATATTCTATTGCATCAATAGAATTTGTGGAGATGATTGTTGAGACATAATTGGTTATCTCTGAATGATTATAGAATATAAGAGATAAGTCAAAAGGCGAATATCCTGATTCTCAAAAGTGGGAAAAGTCAATTCTTTGAACTACCAGTCAGTGAATTTACTTGGATTGTTGGAAAACATTCCAGTATACAATAATAAAAGGATGAAAGATAAGCAACAATCACTAATATACAGTGAAAACAAGTCATATCTAAGGTAACCCAGTGAGGCTATCCCCCCAACCTACTGTGTCCCTGCTTCTGCGGTCAGGTCAAATATTGACCTTGTCATCCAATGAAACCTTTTAATATTTTTTTAGATTAATTTATGTCTCTCCTACTTTGAAAAGTTGATTTTTTGCACCCAAGTTTAAGACTTTTAATTTAGCTCCATGAAATATGATTTTAATAGATCTGGACAAATGTTGTAACTTAAAATTTTTTTTTCCTTCTGGCATCTAGCAGTTTATTTGACCTTTAAACTTTGTGTGTTCTTTAAATTTGATTAGCATGTCCACCATGCTTTTATTCAACTCACTGATAAAAATATTAAATAACAGAGGGCCAAACATAAATCTGTGGTTCACTAGGGACCTCTGTAACAGATGACACAGAGACATTTATGAGTTGTCTTTGTTTTGGCTGTTAATACAATTGTCTATTGATTAGTTCACATCTCTTCCATCTTGTTAGTAACAACATAATAGTCAAATGATTCACTAATATCAAGTTAAATAGTCTATAATCTTCCTTTGATCTATTCATGTAATAATCATGTCAAAAAAGAAAGACAATTAGGAATATCTATCTGGTACAGTTTATGATGAAACTATGTGAGCTCCATGTGACCATCCTTTCCTTTGGTAAAGGTTCACTAACCAATTCTTTATTGATAGGTGATTGATAGATATTTGCCATATACTCTTCTATAGCATGTATCTCCATAATCTTTAAAAAGGCAACTAACAGTAGCCCAACAATCCCATCCACTTGTTCTTTCTGTATCCTGGGATGTGGGTCATTTACACCTGTGGACTTTAACTCTCAACAGAAAGTCAATGGTACATTGACACAAGGGCATCACCAATAGACTTTTCTTGGATTTCAATTCTCTATTAGCCATTTTTATTCAATCATTTGCCATTCACAGATAATTTTCTTTGGCATGAAATCAGAAACAAAACCAGTGTTGAGAGTTTCTGGCTTCTCTTTGTCATGTCTTGTCCTTGTCCTCTCTACTCTGGGCAGTGTCTATCCCTTCTTTGATTCTCCTCTTTCCTACAAATCTCACCCTTGAGTTTGTACCCTGAGTGCCTAAGGCTCTGGAGCCATAGTTCCTAACAAAGACATCTTTGAAATGTTATCTCTGTTTCTACTTCCACTGTCACCTCTAAATAGAATTAATTATTAAACCAATGGAAAAAATTTGATGAAAGCTTATGATGTGAAAAATTTGAAAGGTAAAAGCTTTCTAAACACACAACTTTAAACATTACTGGAAATGATGAGAAAATACCAGACAATAAAATAAATTGGAGAAATGCAAAAATGAAATATTCAATTTGGAGAAAGAACAGTAGGAGGGACAGCTTTTAAATTCATGTAAAAACAAAAAAAGTATTTTATAAAAGAGATATAGGTGATGTAAAAAGAAAAGATAATAAAATCTATTTTAAAAATAAAAATAAGAGAAGGTGTGTAATACATTAAAAACGGAAGCTTCAGGAAACACCACTGTACCTCCAATTCATTTGTATCCTTGGTTGAAGAACTGGCTTCAATATCGATTATGGCAGCTTCAGGGCTTGGACTAGGGATGGTAGCAGACATGCTTTCTTCTTCTTCCTTCTCCTTTGAGGAAAGATAGAGAGAAAAAGACCACAAATATTAAAAACAACAAATAATATCATTAATAACCAATACAACTGAAACAGAATGGAAGCAGCAAAAACAATATCCTATGGTTTGGTAAAGCACTTTCCCCAAAGGAGATTGGTCCACTGGAGGCCAAGAAAGGTCTCAATTGGATTTTCCTGGGGCTCTTCAGTTTACTTCCCATGTTTGGCCCCACCTTAGCTTACATATACAGGATGTAGGTGACATATAGAGGATCAATGATATGAAAAAAATGCAAAAGGAGATATAGGATCTGATACAAACCATCAGTTTTAGTGACTTTGTCTATGAACAGGAAATCAAGAATTTAATTTTGTTCTGAATTTAAAAAACAAAAAAGAGAACATTTCCATACAGTAATGGAGGTGGAAGAGCAAACATCAAAGCAAAATTGAAGGACAGACAACACTGAAGAAACTTTCATTCATTTTTTGAAAAATTAATTTCATTTTACTTTTCTGAATTTAAACAAGAAAAAAGAATATTTCTATAAACACAGCAGCATCAAAAAGAGGGCTGCACATTAAACCATTAGTTTCCACTTCACACAACTTGCTTTTTAAAATGCATATAATAACTTCTACGTGTTATTTTTAGAACTGTCCTTCTTGCCTGTTCTTCCTTCTCAACTTCCTTCACTGTTCTCAAAGTATTTAAAACATGACTTAATGATCTTTTTTTTTTTTTGGCATTCCTATTGCTAATCTCTGTGTTTAACACATTATCCCACCAAAGAAAGCTCCATAAGAGAAAGGAGAGAAAACCTCTTGAAACAAATAAGCAGAGTCAAGCAAAATGAACCCACACAGTGACCATGCCCTGCAAATGTCCATCTCTTCATACATCTTGAGTTCATCATCTCTCCACAAGAGGGGTAGCATGCTGCATTAGAGGTCCTCAGGAATCATAGCTGGTCATTAAGTTACTGGAATTTTGTTTTTCCTTTAGAGTTACCCTTCTTGCTTCTGTTCACTTCACTCTGTCATTTCATACTACTCAGTACTCTCTGAAATAATAGTTTACAACATTTCTTATGGTACAATAATATTCCTTTACATTCATATGCCACAATCTTTTCAGCCATTTCCCAAATGTCAGGCTTCCCATTAGATTCTAATTCTTTGTCTCTATCTTTTTTTTTTAAATTTCATTTTAATACTTTTTGTCAGGATCAGAAAATTTGTTTTGCTTGCAACTATTCCTTCCCTAGTATTATTCTCTCTTTTAACATCCACCTCTTCCCATTCTTTCCCTGTTGGGTTTAAGATATATCTGTACTAAATTATTTCTATTTCTATCTTCATTCTTTTGTCCGTCTCAGATAATGAGGATCAGCTGGTGCCTGGTCTTAATTTTAGATGCCTTTAAAGAGGAAGAACAAGGAATAAGTAGAACTGCTAGTTGGGTCTCAAGGTGGTATTGTGTATAGAGTTTTAGACTTGAAGTCAGGAAGACCTGAGTGGAGGACCTGCCTCAGATATTTACAGTATGTGTATCCTGAGGAAATCAATTAACTTCTCTCTGTTTAAATTTTTTTAATCAGAAAATGGGGGTTATAATAGCACCTAACACACAGGTTGTAGGGAGGAATAGATCAATTGAGACAATACATGTAAAACACTTTGAATCTGGAAGGGATATATAAATATTAGCTATTGATTTTATTATTATTATTCTGGGGTGGATGGTAATGGATGACTCTTCCTGCTCCACAAAACATCAGACTTTTTCAGTTCCTAGTAGAATGATGTTTAAATTGGTGTGAATAGAAAAAAAATGTCCAAAGTTTGAAAGCCAAGATACATAAGGAAATGGTCAGAGTGACCTTAGCTGCCCTCAACATGTTCAAGTCACTACATCTCATGGCATTGAAAGAATTTGTGGAGATGATTATCGAGACATTACTGGTGATCTCTAAATGATTCTGGAATATAAGAGACAAGTCAAAGGACTGCACAGAGGCAAATATTCTGATTTTCAAAAGTGGGAAAAGTAAATTATTTGAACTATAGACCAATTAATTTACCTAGGATTGTTGGAAAACATTCGAGAAGTGATATAATCCAAGGATGACATAGGCAATTAGAAAGGCAAGCAACAATCACTAATATACAATATGGTCCCCTTAAACATAAGTCATGTCCAAGTTAACCCAGTAAGGCGCTCCTCCAACCTCTGGAATCCCTGCTTCTGCAATCAGGTCAGGTATAGACCTTGTCATCCAATGAAACTCCTAAATTTTCTTCAGACTCGTTTCTGTCAGGACACTCTCCTCCTATCCTGAAAAGCTGATTTTTTGCACCCAACTTTAAGACTTTGAATTCATCTTCATGAAATTGGATCTTAGTTGTTGCTGTTGTTGTGATGTCAATCATGTCCAACTCTTCATATTCTTTTCGGGGTTTTCTTGGCAAATATACTGGAGTGTTTGGCCATTTCCTTCCCAGGCTCATTTTACAGGCGAGGAACTGAGGCAAACAGGGTGAAGTAACCTGCCCAGAGTCACGCAGCTCGTATTAGCCAAATGTTCTAGTCTATGAATCTACTTTTTTTTTTCATTCTGGCATCCAACAGGTTAGTTGCCTTTTTAAACACTGTGTCATCTTTAAATTTGATTAACATGCCATCAATGCTTTTATTTAACTCACCAATAAATATATTCCATAATAAAGGACCAAACATAGATCTGTGGTTCACTAGGGACCTCTGCAGCCGGAAGACACAGAACCATTTATGAGTTGTCTGGGTTTGGTCGTTTGTACAGTTGTCTATTGACTATCTCACATCTCTTCCATTTTGTTGTCAAGACTATCATTGTCAAATGATTAAAATTATCGAAATCAAGTTAAATTGTCCATAAACTTCCTTTGATCGAGTAGTCTGATAATTATGTCAAAAAAAGAAAATGAGAACAGCAGAGCCAACAAGGTAGAATACAGGCAGAGACTTTTCTGAGCTCTCTCAAATTCCCCTCCTAAACAACATGACTAATATGGAAATATGTTTTGCATTACTGCACATGTATAACCTCTACCAAATTGTCTGCCTTCTCCATGAGGGGGAATAAGAGGGAAGGAGGGAGAGAATTTGTAAATCAAAATTTGAAAAATGAATGTTAGAAATTGTTTTTACCTGTAATTAAGAATTTTTTTTTAAAAAAGAAAGAAATTAGGAGTATCTGTCTGGTACTATTTGTAATGAAACTATGTGAGTTCTGTGTGATCATCATTTCCTTTGGTAAAGTTCACTAACCAATTCTTTATTGATTGGTGATCGATAGACATTTGCCCATCTACTCTTCTGTAGTCTTTAAAAAGACAACTAACAGTAGCCCAACAATCCCATCCACTTGTTCTTTCTGTATCCTGGGATGTGGTTCATTTACACCTGTGGACTTTAACTCTCAACTGAAAGTCAAGAGCACATTGATTATCACTTGACTTTTCTTGGATTTCCATTCTCTATTAGTTACTTTTCTTCAATCATTTACCATTCATAGATAATTTTTTTGACAGGAAATCAGAAACAAAACCTCTCTATCATGTCTTGTCCTTGTCCTCTCCACCTTGGGCAGTGGTTCTATCCCTTTTTTGATTCTACTCTTTTCCACGAATCTCTTACTTGAGTTTGTACCCTCACTGCTTAAGGCCTAGGAGCCATGGTTCTCAAGGACATCTTGGAAATGCTATCTCTGCTCCCATTTCTACTGCCACTTCTGAATAGAAATAGTGATTAAATGAAAAAATCTGACAAAAGCATACGATGTGAAAAAATTGAAAGGTAAAAGTCTTCCAGAAACATATTTTAAACATTACTGGAAATGATGGGAAAATATCAGACAATAAAATAAATTGGAGAAGAAATGCAAAAATGAAATACTCAATTTGGAAGAGGGGAACAGTAGGAGAGACAGATTCTAAATTCATGTAAAACAAGTTTATTTTATAAAAGAGATGTAGCTGATGTAAAAACAAAGATAAAATTTATTTTAAAAATAGAAGAAAATGGTTAATAAATTAAAAACGAAAGTTTCAGAGAAAACTACTGTACCTTCAATTCATGTACGTCCTTGGTTGAAGAACTGGGTTCAGCATTGGTTATGGCATCATCAAGGTTTGAACTAGGGATGGTGGTGGACTTGCTTTCTTCCTTCCTCTCCTTTGAGGAAAGACAAACAGAAAAAAGACCATAAATACTGAACACAACAAATATTACCATCATAAGCCAATACAATTGAAACAGAAGGAAGCAACAAGGAAAATGTCCTAGGGTTTGGTAAAGCACTTTCCCCAAAAGAGACTGGTCCACTGAAGACCAAGAAAAGTCTCAGCTGGATTTTCCTGGGGCTCTTCAGTTTACTTCCCATGCTTGGCCTCACCTCAGCTTACATATACATGATGTAGGTCATGTGTAGAGGAAACACTGATGTACAAAAATGAAAAATGAGAGATAGAATCACATGCAATTAGTGGCTTTGTCTAGAATAGAAAATGAAGATGATGTGGCATCTATACTCACTTCTGTCTTATTTCATTCATTAAAAAGAATGGTAGAAATAGGAAACAGGAATGTGGAGTTGGAAGAGCAAACATCAAAGCAAAATTGAAAGAAAAGTTTGAAAATTATTTTATTCATTCATTATTTTTAAAAAATTAATTTAATTTTCTTATTCTGAGCTTACATAATGAAAAAGTATTTCCATATACACAGTAGCACAAAAGAGTACTGTATAATGAAACCATGCATCTCCACTTGCTTTTTTCAAAAAAGTGTATATAATAGCTTCTACATGTTACTTTCAAAGCTATTCTGCTTTCCTTTTCTTCTTCTGGACTTCCTTCATTGTTCTCTTTTGCGCATTTAAAGCAAGGTTTAATGGTCTTCTTTTGTCATTACTATTACTAAACTCTCCTTTTACCGTGTTATGTCACAAACAAACCAAAAAAAGGAGAGGAAAAAAACCCTCGTAACAAATAAGCAGAATCAAGCAAAATGGATCCACACAGTGGCTATGCCCTCATAGTACATAATCTCTTCTTGCATCTCTAATCCATCCACTCTCTACAAGAGAACACACATCACCACTGGTCCTCAGCAAACATAGTTGATCACTGAGTCTTCAAGATTGTTTTGCCTTTAGAGTTGTCCTTCTTGGTTCTGCTCACGTCACTCTGTATCAGTTCAGACTACCCAGTACTCTCTGAAATGATCTCAGCATTTCTTATGGTGCAATAGGATTCCATTACACTCACATAATACAGTTTGTTGAGCCATTTTCCATTGTTTTGTTATCTTAGGTTGTTGTAGCAGTAGCAGCAGCAGCAGCTTCTTCTTCTTCTTCCTCCTCCGACTCCTCTTCTGCCCCTTTCTCCCTACCTCTTGCTCTGTCTCTTTCTCTTTTTGTCTCTCTCCTTTTCTCTCTCTTTTCTCCCTTTTTCCTTCTCTCTTTTTCTTCCTCCCCTCTTCCCTTTCTTCTTCCCCATTTTAATATCCGTTCATGATTAGGAAATGTGTTTTGCTTGCAACTATTCCCTTCCTGGTATTATCTTCTCTTTACACCCCACCCCCAATCTGCACTTCTTTCTCTGTGGAGTTTGATGTATTTCTACACCAAATCGCATGTGTTATGCATGTTCAGTCCTCTGAACGTTTCACATAAGAATGATGTTTGACCGATGCCTGTTTCCACTATTTAGTCCTCTTATGTATGCTTTTTCTTCTTGATCACAATTATGAGAAATTCTTCCTCTTTTCTACAAAGTATATTCCTTTTACTCTCCCTTCTTTTTTCCCATCATCAAATCCTCAGAACAGAATTCATCCGTCACTGGTTCTGTTTTTCTTTGCAATGTCATCTTAGTTCCCACTTCTACTGACACATCTGAGAGATGGTGAGCAAATCAAAGGAAAAATTTAACAAAACTCCTTGATGTAAAAAATTTAAAAGATAAAAGTTTTTCAGAAATACAACTTTAAATATTATTGGAATTATGGGAGAAATACCAGAGGATAAAGAGCAAATCAAAACATTGATCAACTATAACATTGTCAAGACAACCTCCCCCCACAAGCACTAAACAAGAAATTGCTTCTTAGAAATACAAATAAAAACATTTAGAACAGTGACAATATCTGGTAAATGTCCTCAAAGAGTTTAGGGGAAAGGAAGAAATCTGGATACAAATATATCAAAGTAAAATTGTAATAATAAAGCATAGAATCTTGTAAACAGAAAGACTTAGATTATCAGGTCCAAGCTAAACCTAAAAAGGAATCAGTCTTACATCTGATATGTGGTCACTGAGCCTCCCCTGGAAAATCTGAAGTGAAGTCCATATCTCCCAATACAGTCGTATTTTATTTTGCATTATAGAGCTTCACTAATCATATTTCTACATAGATATTCACACAGAGAGACTCTTTCACCCACAGATATTCCTAGAATCATAGAATTTAAAGATGTGTATTCTATTTTTATCTGTGCATTTTCAAGTTTTTCTGAATGAAAGAGAAACTTCTAACATAGCTAATGCTTGATTTTATTTTGTCTGTGAGAAATGCTTTTAAAAATCTGCTACTATGAGTGACAAGGTAACCTGACTATTTAATGTGTTTTTATTTTTCTTCAAATCTCTCTATTTTTTCAATCTTATTGATGTATTTTCTTTATACAGCACAATCATTTCCTGATGTATCACCCACCTAATACTCTCACTTTCTGGCTTAACTCCATGCCATCTGTGTCTTTTCTACTTGGGCTACCATCTCTCCCTTCCCCCTCCCCCAATCAGAAGCTTGGGCTCTGCTTCTTTGTCCCCCAGCTCCAAAAGGTGAATCGTTGTCTTATCTTGCCATGGCCTAGGCCTTGATACCACACTACCTCCATGCACCACTTCCACTTCAAGTTCCCCTTTATGTCTTGTCTTCTTTCATTAGAATATAAACTTCTTGAGGGCAGGGACTCTTTTTCTTGGTTGTATTTCTATTATAGCCCTTGGCAAAGAGCCTGCACATAGAACACATTTCATAAACTAATTCTCTCTGTCTCTCTGTCTCTGTCTCTGTCTCTCTCTTTCTCTCCCTCATTCCCTCCATTTTTCTCTCACTTCTCTCTCTATATTTGTCTATGTCTATGTGGCTATCTACATATATAGCTATGATTTATCCATGTATGTATTTATCATCCATCTACTTATCTATCTGTCTGTCTGTCCATCCATCTATCCCTCTATCTTTCTTGTAACAAAGAGAAACAGTTAAGCAAAACCAGCCGACAAAATGAGCCCATTTGATAGCACATGCCACCCTCCACAGCCATAGTCTGCTACTTCTCTAAGATGAAGGACATGTATTTCACCATCTGTTCTCTGTGGCCAAAATCTGCCACTAGAACTCCTTTGAGTTTGGCTGCCTTTTATCACTATTTCCACTTGTTGTATTCACTGTGTACATTGTTCATATTTCATTTTCCATCATTTCATACAATTTTTACGTTTCTCTGAATTCTCCACATTCATGCTTATTTCTTACAACCCAATACTGTCGCATTTCATTATTCAGATCACAATTGGCTCTGGATCCCTACATGATGGCTTCTCCTTCCCTGTGTGTTGTTTCCCCCCACTAGAGCGTGAGCTCCCTTAGAGCAGGGACTGTGTGGTTTTTCTGTCTGAATACCCAGCACTTAGCAAAGCTTGTTGCACTATATGGTGTAAGTTGTTGGGTCAAGCCTCGTTTTTACCCCATTTTCCCAGTAATTCTTATCAAAGAGGGAAATTTCCTCTCAAGAGTTTGTGCTCTTGGATTTATCAAGCCCTGCATGATTGTGCTTTCTTCCTTCTAGGTTTTGCTTCTTTGGCCTATTCTTTTCCTATTTTTAAAAATAATTACCAAATGTTTTAGATAATTATTGTTTTATAATATAGTTTCAGATATGGTAATTCTTTTAATCTCTTCAATCTTTTTTTCCCATTCAATTTTGGGACAGCTGTAATATTTAGGAAGTTTTCCCTAAAATCAAACAAAACTCTGCAGCTCTGACCCACTTGCTCCTAATTTTACATTCTGTGGCTCAGCAAAAAAGTCTAATTTCTCTTCCACATGACTGAACCCACAACATTTGAAGACATTTATTATTTCTCCCTTCTGCCTTCCTTTTTTTTTTTTCAAGGTAATTATCACTACTTCCTTCAAAGGCAGCCACCCCTCTCTGGGCAAAATTCCAGGTGTCTGATGAGGGCAGAGTATAAGAGGGTTATGTTCTCACTCATTCTGGGGACTAGGTTTCTCTTAATATAGCTTTTTGTGTTGCCATGTCACATCACTGATGTGCATCTCTTCCCGTACTTGTAGGCTGGGTTGAGCTTCTAACATGAGATCTCCTAAGTATCCTTACTGAGCTGTTGATGGAAGGACCCAAAAAGTCACTCTTGGGAAGATACAAGGGGCTTGGGAAACCTAACTACCATGCAACTGTCCACCTCATAATGGGTCCAGTAGAAAGACAGGGACTCCATCACCTGGCTTTTCCACGTGAATGTCAGGGCAAATTTTTTTTTATAGATATTAAAAGGTGAATGAATGAGGAATAGCAGATTTTAGGGAGATCACTATACCTGTAATTCATTTTCATCCATTGTCATTTGATTGGGTCATTTGTGGGGCATCTTATGTTTTAAATGATCTTGAAGTTCAAACTCATAATCTTTATTATACACTTTTCTCTCCTTTGGGAAGAGAGAAGGAAAAAAAAAACTCAACCTTGACTCAGAACATAAACATCTAATAAATATATTGAAGAAAAACAGACACAAAAATGAGTGTCCTATGTTGGGTGGAGGAACAAGTAGCAGCCTATGACCTAAAGAAGGTCTAAAGTGGCTTATGAGGGAGAGGGTATGGGCATTTTTCAAACACTTTCTACTGCCTGCCCTCAGCTCAGCATGAAATCCTTGGCTGTGGGTGACAGCTAAGAGAGTCATTGGTAGACAACAATAGCTAACATTTATATAGTGCTTCGCATGTAGTATCTCATTGATATTCACAACTCTTTGAGATAGGTCCTATTATTAGCTCCATTTTATAGATGAGGAAATTCAGGCACTGAGAGCTTAAAGCGACTTGTCCAGGTGCCTGAAATAGAAGCTGGACTCAGATCTTCCTGACTCCAAATCTAACCCTTTATCCACTGTGCCACAAAAATCCCTGAGAGTTGGAATCACATACAAATAAAACCTTTGCTAGCAAACTAATATAGAAAGGACTGTTGTTACTAGCTTGGGCCTTGAGCAGAAATCCAGTGCTGTCCTGATTGGTGAGATCCTACTATATCTAGAAAGCACCAGAACCCCAATCATGCTCTGTCCTAGCCATCTTCTCCCTCTTGTTACTACTGCTTATAGAAATCCTGTCCCAGGGCTGGGTTATTTTGATTGGTAAGAATCTTCTATATCTGCACAGCCTCAGACCTCTGACTATTCTCTATCCTAGTCATCTGGACATTTTAACTTCATTTGTTCATGTATTTCTCTCCCATTCCATTTTTCCCTTTCCCCACCCCAAACCAACAATTGAACCAATGGTACTATTGCTTCTAAAAATGATTGACTAACTGACTGCCCTAGCCACCACCTACCATATTTGTGACTTCCCAGGTCAATTTGCTCTACTATGGCTCCTACTCCCCCAAATGAATTGTCTTCCACCTTAGAATGTAAGCTCCTCTTTATTACTCCACCTACCTTGTAGCATCAAATGATTAAAGACTCTAAAGTGGTAGATAGGTTCAATTCAATAAAAACTACTCCCATGCGTTTGAATGTCACTAATTTTAGTCTCAAGTTTAAAGAAACCATTGTGAAATAAAGAAATGCCTGATCTTGCTACATCTTGTGGCCTAGCTTACCCTTTCCATATAGCCTACTTTGGTGGGAGAAAGAGGTTCAATAAAAGCCCTTGAAGGCTATACTTTTTATAGCATCCTAAATAATCTGGCCAGCCCCTGCTCTTGATAAAGCAAATAGGTGTACCTCAGTTAGCTCAGTTGCAGAGTTTTTAGTCTTGGATTTTTTTTTTGCTTTAATGAGTGTGATGCCACATCATTTCAATTTTCTTCTCTTTCAGTGGGTTTTTTAAGAGGCATGGTTGTTTTAGAGGTGGGGGGGGGGATGCCAGAGAGTGCTGTCACAGACATGCTCCATGTGAACAAAGTCTGGAGAAAGTATACGAAGTTGCTTTATTGGATCAAACTGTGACATGTAGCTCATTGCCTCTTAAGAAGGCTGATTTGTTCAGTGTTTTTAAAAAATTAATAACCTGTTCTTCCGACTACTTTGAAGTTGGATTTGAGAAATGGTTTTGGATGAAATTAGGTATGCTGTATGGACAATAAACTCACCGTGACCTAAAAAAAAATAAAAATAAAAAAAGAATGTAAGTTCTTTGAGGACAGGGACTATGACTCTTTTGTATTTGTATCCTTGGTACTTAGCACAATGCCTAGAAATATACAAACATTTAATAAATGCATTTTCTTTCATTTGATTAATTTTTTAACTCATTCATTATTTCTTTCTACCACTACTATTACTATTGCTAGTAATATAGTAGAAATTTTGTGACATATGACAGGTTGAAAAATTTAGTATTTATGGAATAGCTAAGAAGTCATAATCAAATGTACAAAACTATACAGCAGAAACCTGTTATTCATCCTGCATGAATTAACAGTTAGCTTTATATTGCAGATATAAGCACTAGTATCTTTATGAATTCAACACATAAACCCTATTGCACTTAGAGCAACATCGAGAACAGAGGTGTACATAATTGATGAGACATAACACTGATCCTTAAAAAGCTAAGAATGATGTTCTTAAGTGATGTTGTCATACCAAATACTCATAACCTCCAAATCACATGGGATGAAAAATTCCCAAAATATAGAGATCTAGTGGGAGAAATCAAAGCCATGTAGAAACAATTAGAAGTGTCTCTCATGCCTGTGCAACATTCCACTAAACATTAAATAGAATAGCAGGAGAATGCCTATTCTCAAGACCATTTGCATCTGAATTCTAGTAAGTATGAAAATGAGAATAATAACGATGATGATGATAACTTGCATTTACTTAATTGTTCAGTCATTTTTGAGTTGTGCCCAACTCTTCATGACTCCATTTGGGGTTTTCTTGGCAGGGATACTGGAGTGGTTTGCCATTTCCTTCTCCATCTCCAGAAGGAAACTGGGGCCAACAAGGTTAAGTGACTTGCCCAGGGTCACATAGCTAATAAGTGTCTGAGGTCAAATTTGAACTCATGAAGAAGAGTTTTCCTGATTCCAAGCCCAGTGCTCTATCCACTGCAGTGCCACCTTGCTGACAATTTATGTACTGCTTTAATATTAATAACTAGCATTTGTATGGTGCTATAAAGTTTGCAGTGCACATCATGTAATTTGATTCTTACAACAATATCATAAAGTAGGCATTATTGTCATCTCCATTTTATAGATGAAGAAACTGAGAATTAGAAAAGTTAGATCAGAGAATTTTCCTCGGATTACAGAGCCAGTAAATGTTCAAGGCTGAATTTGAAGCCAGGTCTTCCTGACACAATATCCAGAGCTCTATCCACAATGATGATGCTATCCCTTCATCAATTTGCATTTCTATTGTTCTTTTATGCTTGTTGTTCAACAAATTATCTCTCAAGTGGATTAAATGGCTGTTCTTTGTTACAGAATAAAATTATTAGGATATAAGCTCATCTTCAGAAGGCTCCTTGAAAGCATCTTTGGGACAGCTATGATAGCTGACAGGATGGCAGATATGAAATAGCTAGGTGGTGCAGTGGATAGAGCATTAGCCCAATTGGAGGAGTCAGGGAGACCTGAGTTCAAATCCAGTCTCATACACTTACTCTATAAGCTAATAAACCCAGCCTACTAGCTGGGCATGTTATTTAACCTCTCAATCTCCCAGTTTTCTCAGTTGTATAATGAGGATAATAACATCTATCTCCCAGAGTTGTTAGAGGGATTAAATGAGACAATATTTGTAAAGCATTTAGCACAATGCTTGACACACAATAGGTGTTTAATAAATGCTTGTTCCCTTCTTCTTTCCCATTTTTGTTAGTATGTTACAATATCCAAAGTATTTTCATTATAACCTTGAGACAAAGGTATTGCTGACTTGCCCATGGTAACATAGCTAACCCATTTCAGGCCTGAAACTTTAACCTAGATCTCTTAACTGTAAGTATAGTTCTCTTTCCATTATACATGCTATCTTTCTGTCTGACATTAATTTAGCACTTACTATGTGCAGTGCATGCATGTAGGTAGAGGCAGCCCCCTACTGGAGAAAAATTTAGAACTATGCCCAAAGGCCTATAAAACTATGCATACTTTTTGACCCAGCAATACCACTACTAGGCCTGTATCCCAAAGAGATACAAATATTAAAAAAATATTTATAGCAGCTCTCTTTGTTGTGGTAAAAAATGTGAAATTGAGGGGATGCCCATCAATTGGGGAATGGCTGAACAAGTTGTGGTATATGATTGTGAACCCCAGAAATTCAGTATGGTGGTACTGGGGAAATTAAATGATCATCTTGCTAACTGCTTAGAAGAAGAAGAACCTGTGTGACCACCAAGGTGGAGCCAGTGATTACTGAGATGGAAGTGGGGAAAACATGTTCTATTCACTTACTATCATCATCAGAGCTGCTCCATCTACTGTTGCTCTGCCCTGATTCCTCCCCTGTAGTTAGCAAATTCTATCCATCCTTCCACTTACTCTCCTTATTCTAGGAATCCCTGACTGCCTCTACTAAACCACCTGAACATCCACTACCTGTTCTCAACCCTACACCTTTAATCCCAAACTCCAGCTCTGCCTGCCTCTTCCATTATACTTTCTGAAATACCTGTTCAATTATTAACAAACTTCCCTTCATTTTAGATCTTCCCTCATGTTCCCCTCATCTTCTGTTACTCATAGAGGCATGATTACTCTAATTCTGAGATCTTGATAACTCCATGATTTGACTTCAACTATATTTGAGTTCAACTATACACTAACCCCAGCTCTTCAATTCTTGCTCCCTTGTCCTTCCCAGAGCCTAGTCTGGGATTCCTTCCACTGTCCATCTCCAAAGTCCCTGTGCATGTGCTATTGAATGGGGTTAGACATCATGCAACTATAAAGACTAAGTCCCCTCCAAATTTATGTTATCTAACCTTAATTAAGTCTTCAATGCAGCAAGGCATTTTACTCCTTTTACTTCTCCCTAATTGATTCTCTAGCATATCTTCCAAATCTTCTCTTCTCTTCTCTCTGTAAGCCTTATATGCCATCTCTTCCATAACCCTCTCAGCTGAGGATTTCACTTCATACTTTACTCAGAAAATAGATGTCACCTGTCATGAGCTCCCTCTTCTTCCCATCCCATCTCACAACCCCTTAATATCATCTTCTACTTCCTCATCCTTTAGTAAGTCTCTGAATAAGAGGTGGCTCTTCTCCCTGCCAAGGTCAAACTCTACATGCATCCTCAGTTTTATGCCCTCCTGTGTTCTACAGCTGATGGAATCACTATCATCATATCTGTTGCTCTAATTTTCATTCTTTCCCTGTCTCCTCTTTACTTTTCTGCTGTTGACAAACATGCTCTATTAAGTCCTATTAATTCTAGTTTGTCAGTTAGTTAATAAACATTTATTAAGTGCCTACTATATGCCAGGCACTGTGCTAAGTGCCGAGGATACAAAAAGAGGCAAAACATTTTTTGCCTCGGTCCTGTTCTCTCTTAGGACTGTTTCATTTTGGTCTTTGTATCACCAAAACTTAGCACAGTTTTTGGCACATAATACATGTTTAAGGAATGATTTTTAAATAAATGAATTAATGAAAGAGTAGTAATATGCTCACCAGGACCATCGGGAATATAGAAGTTGGTAGGAGAATATGATCTCTGAGCTGGCCACCATCACATTCTGCTGAAATGTAGGAGGCACATCTTTTGTGAATCTGAGGAGAAAGGAAAGGCCAGAGAGGATAAGGGATGGGATGAGGGGAGAGAGCCATCTCTGGGTCATAGCCCTAAGCAGTTAGCAAGATGATCACTTAATTTCCCCAGTACCACCATACTGAATTTCTGGGGTTCACAATCATATACCACAATTTGTTCAGCCATTCCCCAATTGATGGGCATCCCTCAATTTCACATTTTTTACCACAACAAAGAGAGCTGCTATAAATATTTTTTTAATATTTGTATCTCTTTGGGATACAGGCCTAGTAGTGGTATTGCTGGGTCAAAAAGTATGCATAGTTTTATAGGCCTTTGGGCATAGTTCTAAATTTTTCTCCAGAATGGTTGGACTAGTTCACAATTCCATCAACAATGCATTAGTGTACCTAGTTTTCCACATCCCTTCTAGTATTTGTCATGGTCCTTTTCTGTCTTGTTAACCATACTGATTAGGTGGGAGGTGGTACCTCAGAGTTGTTTTAATGTGCATTTCTCTAACTATTAGTGAATTAGAGCATTTCTATATAACTATTGATAACTTTGAATTCTTTTGAAAACTGTCTGTTCATATCCTTTGACCTTCAGGAAACGGCTCTTATTTTTTCATAAATTTGGTGCAGTTCCTTAAATATTTGAGGAATGAGGCTTTTATCAGAGAAACTTGCTTAAAATCCTCCCCCCCGACTTCCTAATTTCCTTCTAATTTTGACTATATTGGTTTTGTTTGTGCAAAACCTTTTTAATTTCATTAATCAAAATTATTCATTTTACTTCCCATCATACTCTTTTCCCCTTATTTGGTTATAAACTCTTTCCTTATCCATAAATCTGACAGGCAAATGTTTCCATGCTCCCCTAATTTGCTTATACTATCATCATTTATGTCTAAATCATATACCTATTTTGAGTTTATCTTGGTATCCAGTGTGAGATGTTGGTCTATGTTTAGTTTCTGCCAAACTGCTTTCTAGTTTTTTTCCAACAGTTTTTGTCAAATAGAGCTTATGCCCTCAAAGCTTGGATCTTTAGGTTTACAAAAATCTAGATTACTATAGTCATTTACTACTACATATTGTGTAACTATAATCTCTCCCACTGATGAACCACTCTATTTCTTAGCCAGTAACAGATTGTTTTGATGATTATAATTTTGTAATACAGTTTGAAATCCGGCACTGTTTAGCCACATTCCTTCACATTTTATTTTCACTGATTCCCTTCATATTATTTACCTTTTGTTCTTCCAGATGAATTTTATTATTTTTTCTAGCTCTATAAAATAGTTCCTTGGTAGTTTGATTAATATGGTACTGAATAAGTAAATTAATTTAGGTAGAATCATTATTTTATTATATTGGCTTGGCTTAGCCATGAGCAATTAATATTTCTCCAGTTCTTTAAGATTTGTCTTTATTTGTGCAAAAAGTGTTTTATAGTTGTATTCATATAGTTGCTGGGTATGTCCAGGCAGGTAGACTTCCAAGTATTTTATACTATATTTAGTTTACATGGAATTTCTCTTTCTATCTTTTCCTACTGAGTGTTGTTGGTAATATATAGAAATGCTGATGATTTATGTGGGTTTATTTTAAAACCTGCAACTTTGCTTAAGTTGCTAATTGTTTCATTTTTTTTGGTTGATTCTCTAGGGTTCTCTAAGTATACCATCAATATCATCTGCAAAGGGTGATAGTTTTGTTTCCTTGTGCCTATTCTTAATCCTTCATTTTTTTCTTATCTTATTGCTATAGTTAGCATTTTTAGTATAATACTGAATAATAACGGTAATAATGAACATCCTTGCTTCACCCCTGATCTCATTGGGAATACTTCTAGTTTATTGCTATTAAAGACAATATTTGCTCTTGGCTTTAGATGGATACTACTTACTTTAAGAAAACCTCCATTTATTCCTATTCTTTTTAGTGTTTTTAATAGGAATGGGTGCTGTATTTTGTCAAAAGCTTTTTGCATCTATTGATATAATAATACAATTTTTGTTGTTCTTGTTATTGATATGGTCAATTATAGCTTTCCTAATATTAAACCAATCCTTCATTCTTGGTAGAAATCTTATCTGGTCATAGAATGTGATCTTTGTGATATATTACTATCGTCTTATTGCAGTATTTTATTTAAAATTTTTGCATCAAAATTCATTAGGGAAATTGATCTCTAGTTTTCTTTCTGTTTTTGCTCTCTCTGATTTAGATATAAACATTATATTTGTGTCATTGAAGAAATCTAGTAGGACTCTTTCTTTACTGTTTTTTTAATAGTTTATATAGCATTGTAATGAATTGTTCTTTGAATGTTTAGTAGAATTCACTTGTAAATCCATCTGGTTCTGAGAATTTTTTCTTACAGAGCTCATGGATAGCTTGTTCAATTTCTTTTTTTTTCTATGGTAGGGTTATTTGTGTGTTCTATTTCCTCTTCCGTTAATCTGGGCAATTAATATTTTTTAAAAAAATATTTAAAAAATATTCATCCATTTCACTTAGACTGTCAGTTTTGTTGACATACATTTGGGCAAAATAACTCCTAATAATTGCTTTAATTTCATCTTCTTTGGTGGTACATTCACCCTTTTAATTTTTAATACTTGCAATTTGGCTTTCTTCTTTTTTTTAAATCAAATTAATCAATGATTTATCAATTTTATTGTTTTTAAAAATAAAACCAGGGAGAAAATTCTGAGAAGATGGCAGAGTAGGTCAGAAAATTCCAAGCTCTTAAGATTTACCCCCACAAATGCGATAAAATAACACCTCAGGGTGAACATAAGAGTAGCAAAAATAAATGAGAGTAGGGGCAGAACAGGGGTCTTCCTGGGACAATTGGAGAAAAGTTGAAGAAAAATTCCAGAATGAGGTTTGGTCCTTGTGAAAAGTAAACACCTTCAGGCTAGGTTAGCTTAAACAACAAGGAGTGAACCCTGGAGTAAGGTGGGTTGTGAGGCTGCCTGGCCCCAGCCACAGGAACTTTTACCCCTGGGACAGTGAGAGGAGTTGAACTTTTGAGCCAGAGAAGATTGAGGGAATCTCTTCTGACTGTGCTGTGAAGACATAGCCAGGGGCAAGAAAGAACCAGCATATTCCCAGTGAGTGAAGAAGCAGTGGGGTGGGGACACCACTGGCCATAGGCATTTACAGGAGGCTGGAGGTCTTAGTTTTGGTTCGAGGCCAGAGGGGAGAACTGAAAGAGGATCTGAGGCCAGAGGCACCATCCCCCACACCCCAAGACAAGAGGTAATGACAAAAACTAAACTACTATAAATAAAAAAAAAAAATGGACAGGCAAAGGAGAAAGAATTCAACCACGGAGAGTTACTTTGGAAATAGAGATGTCTGTGTCTCATTTTCAGAGGAAGATACTGAAGCAAAAAAAAAGAAACCCTCTTCTATCCCAAAGAGTAACATCAAATGGTAATCTGCTCAAAAAGAATTCACAGAAGAACTTAAAAAAGACTTTAAATATCAAATGAGAGAGATTGAGGAAAAACTTAAAAAAAAAACAATCCAAGAAAAACAAGATTATGAAAAGGAAGTCAACCAATTAGAAAAGGTGATCCAGAATCTTAAGGAACAAAATGACTTCTTGAAAATCAGAATTGGGCAAGGGGAAGCCAACAAAGTTATAAGAGATCAAGAAATAATAAAACAAAATATAAGGAATGAAAAAATAGAAGAGAATGTGAAATATCTCATAAGAAAAACAACTGGTCTGGAGAACAGATGAAGAAGAGAAAACATAAGAATAATTGGGCTACCTGAAAGCTATGATCAAAAAAAGAATCTTGATACAATAATATAAGAAATAATTAAAGAAAATTGTCCTGAAGCATTAGAACAAGAGGGGAAAGTAGAAATAGAAAAACTTTGCCAATCACCACCTGAAAGAGGGCCAAGGAGGAAAATGCACAGAAATATTATAGTCAAATTTTGAAACCCCCAGCTCATGGATAAAATATTACAAGCAACAAGAAAAAAAAATTTAAATACGGTGGTGCCACAATTAGAATTACATAAGACCTAGTAGCAGTTATACTAAAACACCACAGGTCTTGGAACACTATATATCAAAGAGCAAAAGAACTGGTTAAATAGGTTAAAGTGGGGTATAAAAGGGTGTTCAGAGTAATGGGAATGGGAGGACAAGGGAGGGATCTTTGGAGGAGGGTAGGTTAAGTAATAGGAGGGCAAGGTAGTAGGTAGAAGTAAAGTAAAGAAGAAGATGAATCAGGAGGGATAGGAAATAAGAGATATGCACAAACATAAAAGCAATTATCATAAGTAGAATTTGTTAGGGAAACTATATGTCTAAATATGTATGTATGCATGTTCATAAGTATGTATGTGTATAAATGTATATGTGTATGTATATATCTATATATAAATATATCTGCACTTCATTGTAGCCTTCTGAGGTGGTGGGTGTAGGGAATGAAGGGGGAGAAAGAACAAAGTAAAAAGTGCACAGCAGAGAACAAAAGAAAATTTACAAGGAAGCAAAGATAGACAGTTCTCACCATAATACGTAGTATTTATTATATAGGCTTTCTTGAAACGGAAATTTATTGCTATGTATTTTGAATCCTCTCTTGCATTCTGCTGTGCACATGACATCCTTTTTTCTTTTCTTATTTTGTATTTAAGCTTATAATATGTTTCTTTTTCTTTTCTTATTGTGCATTTAAGTTTTAGTATTTAAGTCTAAAATTTAAAAAAAGGAAAAAGTAAAACCAACTTCTAGTTTTATTTATGAGTTCAATGGACTTTTATTCTACTTTAAATTTTATTAACCCATCTTTTGATTTTCAGGATTTGTATTTTGGCATTTAAAAAATTTTAATTTGTTCTTTTTCTAGTGTTTTTTTCAGTTGCATACCCAATTCATTGATCTGCTCTTTCTCTCTTTTGTTGATGTGTTTAGAAAAATAAAATTTCCCAAGTACTGCCTTTCATCCCACAAATTTTGGTATGTTGTCTCATTA